GAACTGGCACGAACGGCCATCACGTGACACTGTCGACTATGGAGCCCACATTCCCACTCCTGTCTCCCCTGAAGGAGACCGCATTCTCCTGGTCCCAGTCCCTGAGTGGGACTGCCGCTGCCAGTATACGCCTGTTAGACACATGGGGAGATGGACAGCGGGCTGCCTCTGTCCTCTCCCTCCCTCTTGCATCAGACATGCAGGTCTGGTGTTATGTTCTGCTTTTACTAGCATATCAGCCTGTGTGCCTCTAACTCTGCCCATTAGATAGAAGAATTCAAAACTTGACCGTCTTTCCCGGCCAGTCAGTGGTTGAGAGTCGACCTATTGGTTCGATTCCTAGTCAGGGTACATGCCCAGGTTGCAGGCTCGATCCCCATTGGGAGGCGTGCAGGAGGCAGCCGGGCAATGATTGTCGTCACTGATGTTTCTATCCCTCTCTCCATGTCCTTTCCTCTGTGAAATCAATAAATAAATTTTTTAAAATATTTTTTAAAACTTGACCATCTTTCCAAAGGCCAAGTTCACCACACATCAGACACATACGGAACTTTTTTGGAGCTCTTTTCTCTTGTTATAGAGACATTGGCTGACTTCTCATCCCATTATTATCATGACATCTGTTATTTTGATGTGTTAAGATAGACACCCAACTTTCCATTGATTGGAAAATGTGTACATTTTTAATTCATATAAATTAAGTGTGATTTCAGAAAAACTTCATTATCACATAAAATAATTGATTTTTAACTTCCCATATGGCTGTTTATTGAATTTGAGGATAGTCGAGTTTAATCATTTCCATGCCTTTACGGGGTAATTTCACTTTATTAAATACTTATTTTATACTTCTACAATGTTCTGCCTTTCGATGTATAAATTGTCTAGCAGTGTTCAGTCAACATTCGCTTTGTGGCTTTGGATAATTAAATGTTAAAGGGCTGTATTGAGTCTCCTCACCACCTTTTTTCTTTGCCTGCCCAGGTACATCCTGTACTGGAGGAGGAGGTTCAGGGAGCAGCCCATCACCGACTTCTGCAGCGTGATCCGAATCAACTCCACCGCTCCGCTGGGTCAGTGCGCTTCGGGGCTGCCGCCTTTTCCCGGGACCCAGAATTCAAAGGGGGAGTCCCACTTCCTCAAATCAGAATTCTCTCACTTCCCCGAGAGCCAGCCCCACTGCTTCCTCCCTGTGTCACTCAGCACTGACCCTATAGACCAGCGGTTCTCAACCTGTGGGTCGCAACCCCTTTGGCGGTCGAACGATCCTTTCACAGGGGTCGCCTAAGACCATCCTGCATATCAGATATTTACATGATGATTCACAACAGTAGCAACATTACAGTTATGAAGTAGCAACGAAAATAATTTTATGGTTAGGTCACAACATGAGGAACTGTATTTAAAGGGCCAGAAGGTTGAGAACCACTGCTATAGACCCTCCTACTACCAATCCAAATTAAACTGCTGTGTTATTGTTGCCTAACTTCAATAAAGCTAAGAGACCAATACTTCAGAGGAGAGCTCTCAATAGACACACACATAGATATAGATATAGATATATAGATATAGACATAGACATAGATATAGATATATAGACATGGATATAGATATGGTTATGGATATAGATATAGATTAGATAATAGATATGGGTATGGACATGGATATGGATATAGATATGGATATAGGTAATGGATATAGATATGGATATAGATTAGATATGGATATGGATAAGGATATAGATATAAATTAGATATGGATAAGGATATAGATATGGAAATAGATATAGAGTAAATATGGATATAAGTATGGGTATGGATATAGATATGGAGGATATAGGAATGGATATGGGTATGGATATATATTAGATATACATGTGGATATAGATTAGATATGGATATGATAAGGATATGGATATAGATTAGATGTGGATATGATAAGGATATGGATATAGAATAGATATGGATATGGATAAGGCTATGGATATAGATTAGATGTGGATAAAGATATAGACACACATATTTTAAGGAGTAAGGCCTGGGGAAAATGGTAAATATTGTCTCACTGATTTCTCTCCTCACAGAAGAGCAGGACAGCTACTTCCTGCTGTGTGACGTGCTGCCGGAGGACCGGGTGCTGAGGGAGGAGCTGCAGGCGCAGAGACTGGTAAGGCCTGTGCGAGGGACGCACAGTGGCTGGGAACACACACTCGTCACTGTGCTGTTCTCTCGTTGTTGCTGGTTTTACTTTTATTCCGGAAACTTTCAAACATGCACAAAAGAGGAGGCACTACATCCAGACCTTAGAACAGTAAAAGCGTGCCTGTGACTGAAGATGAAAGCCTTCCGTGCTAAAAACGCAGGGGCAACTTGGGGCTCTGCTTTGCTTCCTGGATTACCTCTAAAATAACAGCAAAGCTTCCACATTTAGGTGTAATTTTAACCGCCTGACACATGCTGGGGTTCAGCCGTCGTGGAAAAATGCCATCGGCTGACATGGAGTGGAATTGAACGCTCCCCCCACTGGAATGCACTCTGCCCACCCCGGCTTTTATCCTGGCCAGAGGCCTGTGCTTGGTGCACACAGTGGCCTTTCTCCTTTCCAGCCTGAGCCGCGGAGAGCTAATTTTAATACCTCAGCAGCTGTCGTCTTTAAAAAGGGTAACAGTGTATTCGAGTGTTAAGTGTTCATTTTCATAAGTCCAACAGGAAGTCATTTTTAAGTTACTTTGTTTAAAAGTGCGGTTTTTCATTGCTGTTTGTGGTTACGCTCGATTATTACTTGGAATGGGCCCGTCCTTCCTTCAGGGGCTGCTTATTAGTGCTCCTGGGACCTGTGGACTCGGCCAGATGTGTTATGAGGGAACTGGGAGGTCACTGTTTCTGCTAAATCCTCAAGAGGGCGCGGAGGAAAATAGACCCCGTCGACCGTGACCACGTGATCTGAGAAGTCCCTGAGGCGCGTTATGTATTGTGAACGTCCCCAATGGTGATTTCTCCCGCAAGGAAGATGGTATTGTTGGATGTTGATTTATATGCAAGAAAAATATGCTTTTTCTATAGCAGCAAACCCAATGAAGTAGCAGGACTCCTGAGGTTCTCTTTTCCTATTCTCACGTCTTAACATCTGCAAAACAGGGATCAATTTGCTGTCATCCTTTATGGATTTGTTTGCTTATACCTATTCATAATTTTTCATTTCCATTAGTTTTGTCACTCTTGCCCACGGTGGCCTTAATTGAGAATGGCCAAGCAGTCATAATGTGGGTACCCACAGGGTCTCTTTGTAAGAACTCAAACCCCACTGCTTCCGCCCTGTGTCACTCAGTACAGACCCTCCTACAACCAACCCCACTGCTTCCGCCCTGTGTCACTCAGCACCCAGAGTCTTTACTGAACGTCTATAGATAGACTCACGTCCCTAGAAATAGCTGTATCCATTATTGTAGATGACAATTAAATTCTGACCCAGTTCCCGTCTGGGGGTTTTCCCCACATCCAGCGGTTCCCCAACATCAGGAGGTGTCCTACATTCAACTCACTTTGGACACTTGTCTTCCCAAGAGCATAGGGACCTCAGGTTAAGGGCTCAGCCCCTACTTCAGATGCCAACCACAAGCCCGGGCCCCCTGCTCTGACCCACCGGCTGTAGAGCGAGGTGCTCCTTGGGTTCAGTGAATCTGCTAGAGCAGCGCACAGAGCCCCGGAAGCCTGTTGGCTGGCTGGTTACGCATGTGTCGCACAGATAGGAGACAGCGACTAAGCTCAGTTGGGGGAGCAGCACAGGAAGGCCCACGCAGGGGCCTCTGCCCGTGGATCCGGCCGGAGGACAGCACGTGGACACATTGTGGTCCATCAGCCCAGGAGCTCCGCCCCTGTCCTGTGGGTCGGTGTGGAGGCTCAGGCTGCGGGACCAAACCATCGGCCGTGGGTGACGGAGCTCGGCCTCCAGCTGCTCGCCTGCAGGGAGGTGGGGAGGGGTGGGCCTGAAAGTTCCGATCCTCGGATCACGTTGACTCCATGTCCCAGTCCCTGGGTGCCCCCAGAGTCGCTCCCGTGCACAGCAGGAGACACCCATGCAGCCTCGACCCCTAGCAAATGCCAGGGACCTCAGGAGCCGTGTGCCAGGACAGAGGCAAGACCAAACAGACACTTCTCACTGCAGATCACATCACACCTGTCACCATCCTCAGTCCCACAGACGGATGGAGGTGCTGAAAGTGAGCCTGATGGCAGCTTACAGAAGCAACTTGCACAGAACTGCAGGCCGCTCACACAGTCACTGAATTCCTGCCTAACCAGGTGATCGCACCCAGAAGTCAAGGCGGGCGTGTTGTAAAAGCGGGTGGCCTGAAGCAGAAGGACTATGACATGTGCTACGGAGACGATGGTAGAATGACCTGTAGCGCTTGTGAAGACGGAGGCCAGGCACGTGTCACACTCAGGACAGCCTCTACCCCAGAGGTCCTCAAACTACGGCCCGCGGGCCACATGCAAATACAAATATTGTATTTGTTCCTGTTTTGTTTTTTTACTTCAAAATAAGATATGTGCAGTGTGCATAGGAATTTGTTCATAGTGTTTTTTTAAACTATAGTCCGGCCCTCCAACGGTCTGAAGGACAGTGAACTGGCCCCCTGTTTAAAAAGTTTGAGGACCCCTGCTCTACCCCATGGAACGCGCTCGGCAAGTGTTGTTGATCGCGCAACTACCAATAATACCGCATCTCACCAGTGAGAAGGCCTGGGGAGCGGGAGAGCTGTGGAAAGGGAGGGAGGGTGCATACAGACCTAAGTGGACAAGAGAAAATCCTGGTGTCCTAAATGACATTACAGTGGCGGAGAGTGAGGGCAAGAGGCGGGAGTGGTTAGCCAGTTAGCAGCTGTGGGCCCCTAACAAGGCGCTCCCACTCCTTAATGTATGTCGGAGCCGTGACTCAACCTCCACCTCCCGTGGCTGAGCGGCCACCAGGACCCCTGCACCGGCCCCTGTGGGAGCTCTCAGGCCTGTAGCCGGTGACCAGTCAGAAGGGTGAAGAGCTCTTCCTTGTAGACTGTGCACCTGCCCTGGAACTGGCCTCGCGTGCGGCGTGTGAACCTGCCTGGCAGACTCTAGTGAGCGTTGTTGACACTGTGATGGGAGACGGCAGCCTTGATTTCACCTTGTGGCAGAGCAAGCTGTTCCGTGGGCTCTGCCATTCCAGACGTCAGCTTCTGCTTTCCTCTACAAACACTGACTGACGTGCTCTAATCGCTTTCTCCTGATGGGCTGATTTCTGCCATTTCCCCCCTGACGCATATGCTTGTTCCTGCTCCCGTGTGCGACCCCTGCGCCTGTGCCGAGAGCCACCTGCGCTGTGTGCAGCTTCATTCGAGTTGCCCTGCCTACAGCGCATGAGTCAGGATGGACAAGCCGCTGACCCGACCCTCTGCTGCCCAACGTGGCATTTTAAACCCATTAGACAGCGCACAGCCTGTTATGACGACCCTCCGCCTAATCCACAGGCTGGTCTTGTGTTCTTACAACAGTGGCTTTTACCCAGCCTGCTTTGCAATGACAATTTATCTGGTTTCATCAGCTGCTTGGAGAAGTTCAAATGCGTAACATCTGAGGCACTCTTCATTATAAGTATTTCTCTCTTTGGAGCGTGACCAGCACGACTAGAGAGCAGTCCAACAAGTCTGTGAATAAAGTCTATTGCGTGCACCAGCATGGCTTGCTACCATGAAGACCTCGCCTTCCGGGTCTAAAACGGGGCTGTTCTGTGCGCTATGCGCCCTGATGGCGCGAGGTCCCGTTCTGTGGGTCAGAGCTCCAGCATCTTCCACGGCTGCGACTTCTCTGCCGGCCTCCCAAGTCCGGCCTGCACACGTCCAGCTCAGGATTTGCACAAACATCCAAGCATCCGGTAGTGTCCTTGAGCTCCTCTGCAGCTCCCTCCTTCCTGGTACCTTGTCCCACAGATTCCACTCACTTGAATATCTTTTTTTTTAATGTGTATTTTTTTAATTGATTTCAGAGAGAAAGGGAGAGGGAGAGGGGGAGAGAGAGAGAAACATCATCGGCTGCCTCCTGCACACTCCCCACTGGGGATCGAGCCCACAGCCAGGCATGTGCCCTGACAGGGAATTGAACTGTGACCTCCTGGTTCATAGGTCGACGCTCAACCACTGAGCCACACCAGCCGGGCTCACTTGAGTATCTTAAACTCCTGTCTCTTTTTTCTCTACCAAGCAAGGCAGCTGTAGTTCGATTGGGTTTAATTTTTCTCTGTTGCAAGTTGAAAAACACCACCCAACAGAGAATGATGTATTTCTCTTAAGGGCCCAGCCCTGTGCTGTCTGTTACCCGATGTCAGAAAACAGATGAGATATCTGCAGCGTCTGTGTAGTTCACGGGAGTGTGATGTCCTTTCTCCCATGATGCTGGGAGCTGAAGAGCAGGAATTGGCTCTATTACGGTCACTCCTGAATGTTTTCTTCAGTGGATTACTGTTGCAGATGTTTGGTGAAACATTTCCAGAGAGGCCACATGGACCGGGATAAGCCGCTAGACCCTCGCTCGTATTTAAGCTGTTCCATAAATACTTACGGAATCAGCAGTAAACTTCACGAAGCTCCTATTTTGAGCCCCGTGCAATGAGAGACGCTGGAGAGTAGATGCCAGTGTAATACAAGAACAGTATAGAGACTTTTTATAACTTCAAAGACTTTCCATATCCTTTCCGCAGAGAAGCAGGCAGCCGCGCCAGAGAGGGTGGGAGTGAGCAGAGGATGGCTGCTGCCTGGGTAACAATTACATCCCACACTTAATAACCCGGGCGCAGTCGAACCCTGTCCATCAATTACCTGACTTCAGGTGGTGCCAAAGCGTATTTCAGATTTTCTGAGTCAGAGTAATTATACGTGTAAACAATGTTTAGGGGAAGTTTTTCCAGCAGCCGAGGGAGGATGGCCTGAGGGAAAGAAGGTGAGGTCGGGAGACCCTGGAGACGACTCACGGTAACCCCACAGCGACTGGTTGGAAAGGGCCTCGGCGAGGGCGCTGGGAACGGTGGAGAGAAGCAACGGGAACCGTGGTGCAAGTGAACAATTGATCAGAACCTGATTCCAGAGTAAACCGGACCACGGGAAGGAGCAAGTCAAAGACTCACCACGTTTTGTCTCTGAGAGACGGTGAGGAGCAGAGATGACTAGTGAATAGGGAGCAGGACGAGGTCGGGAAGGACAGTGAGGCTCCGTGGACTTGAGTTTTGTGCACAGCCTTCAATGGAGTGTCTGCAGGCATTTGCCAGTGTGGGTTGGAATTTATTTTAAATATATTTTTATTGATTCATTTTTTTAATATAGTTTTATTGATTTCAGAGAGGAAGGGAGAGGGAGATAGAAACATCAATGATGAGAGAGAATCATGGATCAGCTGCCTCTTGCGCGCCCCACACTGGGGACCAAGCCCATAACCCCGGCATATGCCCTGACCAAGAATCAAACCGTGACCTCCTGGTTCATAGGTCAACGCTCAGCCACTGAGCCACATGGGCCAGGCCTGGAGTTGGAAGTTAAATGCAAGTGGAATGGAGACATTTAAAATGCTGTCCGCGTCCCTATACGCTGCCCCCTGTGCTTCCACCCGGTGTCT